CGCGTGCGTCGTTCTCTCCTCTCCTGGTCATCTACTCCGCGCCAAAGATAGAGTCTGACATCATACACAGAGGCATCACTCGGGTCGGACGAGCGATAAACATACTTGCGCACACGATGCCTGTGCACGCGGAAGGTTTACATTGTCTGTTAGAACTGTCTCAATTGACATCTTCCAATGCAGCCCCGCCGTTGCCCTCGCCAAACAACGGACCTCCCTGCTGCTGATTCTTGAGGAGGGAGAGAGAGAGAGAGAGGTCTCGATTTTTGGGGGAATTTTCTTTGGCGAGAAGATTTGTTTGTCGAAGGGAAAACTCGAGAGATTAGGATACCGAAGGATATTTTTTATCGAAATAAATATCGTTCGGATTTTCACGGAAAATGTTGAATTCGGTCGGAGTTGGAAGATGAATCAGGGATCAGAAATTTGTGAAAAGTAGAATCGATTTTTTACTGCATCAAGAGAGAGATCGTCAGAAATAAAAATCGTAGGATTCTGAATGAGGTGATTGAGCTTTTTTTTTTTTAGGAAAATAATCAGGCAGGTTTTAATAGAAAGAATTATATAATAATCTGGAATGAGGAAAGTAGAATCGATACGATTTCCTGACCGACTTGTTTTACTGCAATAAGTTTTTCAAAATCGATTCTGGTGTGGATTCTGATACGAGAAATCTGAATAATTCTGAATCTGTTGCACCGATGCGTAACTAAGCTTTTTGATAAAAATCAGAAAGTAGTAATCGTAGGTTTTAATATATATCAGGAATCAGAAAATTATAGAAATCGACACGATTACGACCTGTATTTTATTGCATCGAGATAGACGAGTTTCTCGATATAGAAATAAACGAATAATCCTAAAATTCTGATACGAGAAATTATTAGAAACTTGAGTGGCTCGTTTGTTGCATCGAGGACGAGAAATTAGAAAAATATCAGGAAATTTGCAAGGAAAAAAAAAAAAAAGTAGAAGAGAAGAGAAGGAAGACATGACGCGCGTGGTGTGTTAAATTTTCGATGAAGTCATTTATTTGAAACGTGACGTGTTAACTTTAAGAGTCGCGTGTCACGTTAAATTTGCCGACAAGTTATTATTAATTTTGAGAAGCTCACGGTCTAATTTATCACGATCCAACGTGAAAATATACACGAATTATTTTATTATTATCGTAAAATGATCAATTTCTCGCCCGTTTCCACATCTCGAGATTCTCGACGAATCTCGCACGCTCGAAATCTTATCGGGCCTCGGTAAATTTAGTAGAGAGAGAGAGAGAGATGATATCGCTGCCACGATCTCCTTTTTATATTATTTGTCGCACGGCTTATAGTAGCTCGTAACACTTGCCGCTACACCGATAACAACCAGAGTACACAGCCTCGTTCGCGTGTAAACACGCGTGTTTGTGCTATCAGCGTGACGTCACCCGGTGTACAGATAATAAAAGAATGGATTCGATGCGCACAACGCACACCTACCACAACCACGTCGTGCAACCACGTCGAATTCCTTTAGAATGCAGATCATCGAAGCTGGATACGCGTTATGAATTATTTATGGGATAAATCGGGCAACGTTGACAAATAATTCAAACAAGAAGTTCCAATTACAGGAGGCCGTCCCACGCGGCTTCCTCATTCACACTTCGCTTGCCCGCAGCCAATTTCCATCGTTTTAATTCATCGCATTAATGGCATACCGATCCCTGGTTAAACACGAATCTTTATGCAAATTCTCCCTGGCAAATTCGTCAAATCGTCATTAATTATTCGGATTTTTAAATTTGAAAATTGTCGTGTCTGATGGAAGATAGGACAATTATTCGAAAAATCAAAGAGCACGTATAATATATTCATTGCTATGTTTGGAGCATGAATCTTATCTTCCATTTCTTTATTTATTTATTATTATTATTATTACAAACACGAATCTACATGCAAATTGTCGAATTGTTGTTAATCGTTCGGTCGCTAGTAGTTCGGATTTTTAAATTTGAAAATTGTCGTGTCTGATGGAAGATAGGGATCTCTAGAATTCGATCGTTGTCAATACTGATTTCACGCGAACGAGGGAGCATGTTCACGAATTTTATTTTATTTTATCGTAAAAAAGGGATATTACGGAATAAATAGACTTCGAATATTTATTTAATTATTCAAAAAATCAAAGAATACATATAATAAAATAAAACACTACATTACTATGTTTGAATCTTTCATTTCTTTATTTATTTTTTATTATTATTATAAACGCGAATCTACATGCAAATTGTCAAATTGTTACTATTATTCGATTGTTAATAACAGATTTTTAAACTTGAAAATTGTCGATATTCGATGGAAGATAGGATCTCTTATTTTATTGTTGAGATTCAGAATAATATTAATTTTACATGAACGAGACGAGAATTAATTCATTTTATCCCGTAAAAGAGGAAGGAATGGAATAAGTAGACTTCGAATATTTATTTAAATATTGAAAAAATCACAAAGAACACATATAATAAAATACTACATTATACATATTTAGAGCATCTGAATCTTATCTCTTCCATTTCTTTATTATTATTATTTATTTAAATATTCATGAGAAATCACATATAATATGCTTGAAATAATATACTATATTTAGAACACGAATCAAATCTTATCTTCCATTTCTGCAATTGCCCGCCGATAAAAAATTACGAATTCACGTAAACATTTACCTCGCGCACACAACTTACCTAACCATACAGACCGCGTGTCTTGCAAAATCGTCAACACCGCACAATTAACACCGACTTGGACAAAAATTCGCCGAGGAATTCTGCCACCCTCCTCTTCTCCCTCTCCCTCCCCCCAAAAAAAAACGAAAACTCAGCGGAAAAACGAAACAGAACACGAGAACAGTTACCCTGAAGCTGCTTATGCAGCAGTTTAACTCTCGTGACGAAACGATGAATCGTTTTCTCTCTTCTCCCTTTTTTGTTCTTTTTTCTTCTTCTTCTTTTTTCCCCTCTCTCTCTCTCTCTCTCTCCTCTT